AGCAGTAAAAGATGGGGGAAAATTTTGTGCTCTAGCTTTCAATGGGGGCTTTTAGGAACTGGTGTGTGTGTGTGTGTGTGTGTGTGTGTGTGTGGTAAGATAAATACACTTTGGGAAGGTCATCTGTTGTAGTCTTTGAAGAGAGTTCATCCAGACAAACCTTGTAGTTTGTTTTCTGTATGTATGTGATGTGTCACCAGATTGTTTTAATCGAGTAAGGATAAGAGCTGCCTACTCCTTCTGATAACTCAGCTCCCGGCATCTCTCCGTCGTCTACTGGATGGGCATGACCCACCTCCGTGCAGCCCCTGGGTGTGGGAAATCCAGCCACCATTTAGGGAGGGATCTTCCCACCATGGTAAACTGGGAAGGGTTAGTTCTGGTGCTGAGAAGAGAACTTGCTAGGCAGTCTTTTTATTGCATGAGAGGAAGTTCTCTTAACTCATAACCTGAGCTGCTTCTAGGTTGCTGGCTTTGACCTTCCAGAAAGTATCATACAGAGGAGGGTTCTCAACCTGTGTGTATGTGTGTGAGTGTGCACGTGTGTGTGCTCAGGTGTGTGAATGTATATGTGTGTGCATGTATGTATGAGTATACATGTGTTTGTTCTCAGGTGTATGTGTGTGGGCCCACTTGTATGTGTGCTCAGGTATATGTGTGTATGTGTTTGAATGTGCATGTGTGTATGAGTGTGCATTTGTTTGTGCTCAGTTGTATGTGTGTGTGTTCCCATCTGTATGTGCGTGAGTGTGCATGTGTATGTGAGTGTACATGTGTTTGTTCTCAGGTGTATGTGTGTGTGCTTGTGGAAGTCAGGTAAAGGAGGGGTGGGTGGGAGCTGTATCTCAATCTCCTGAATTACCAAAAGAATGGGGAGTCCTTAGTCAACTAAAGAAAAAAAATTGACCCATCGCATACATACAAAGCCTTTGACTTTGGCCCAGTGTTTAGAACTTAGGAAGTGTTCAGTGTTTGCTGAGTAGATGTCTGAACCACTGTACCTGCCCCGGGATGTCTGTCTCTTCTGTGCAGCTTTCCCTTTTTAGTTCAGCAATGCATCCTCAGCGTCAGTGTAGGACATGACACGCATCTGGAGGCCAGGTCAGTGTAGGACATGACATGCATCTGGAGGCCAGGGTAGGGGGATCATGAGTTCCAGGCTAGGCTCTTGTTTGTTTGTTTGATTGATTGATTGATTGATTTTTTTTTAGACAGAGTTTCTCTGTGTAGTTTTGTAGACCAGGATGGCCTCAAACTCACAGAAATCCACCTGCCTCTGCCTCCCGAATGCTGGGATTAAAGGTGTGTGCCACCACGACCTGGTGGATCTCGTTTTTTTTTGTTTGTTTGTTTGTTTGTTTGTTTTTCAAGACAGGGTTTCTCTGTATTGTTTTGGAGGCTGTCCTGGAACTCGCTCTGTAGACCAGGCTGGCCTCGAACTCACAGATATCCACCTGCTCATGCCTCCTGAGTGCTGGGATTAAGGGTGTGTACCACCACCACCTGGTGGATCTTGTTTTAAAACAACAACCATAACAATAACACACATACACATGGAGGAGGGGGAGGAAATAGCAGTAATAGCAGCAACACGGCCCCTTTCATGTCAAGTGAAAGAGCAGTCTGCAGGGCCTCTTGCACGGTCTGGGGTATTCCCTCCCAAACATCCTTCCCGGGTCTCAGTGAATAGAGCAGCAGGACCAAGCTCACCAGAGCTCATTTCTCTTCTGCCCGCCCTGACTCACTTCTAACACCCCCTTGTGCCTAGAGCAAAGATGGGAAAATGTGAAACTAATTTCTCCACTTGGTTTTATTTCTGTTTTAGGTCATTTTGTTAGCACCAAGCTTCCTGTTTGCTCACCGGGAGGCATAGGCACATAATGCTGTACTTAGGGGTGGGGTACTAGTCTAACACCCCCAGGGACGCATGAGGTTCTCCCTGCAGACGAGTGGTGTCTGCTGGCACAGTGCTCACAACAGCTTCCACCTATCAGAATCATGGGGTTCCAGACAGCAGGTTAACATGATAGCTACGTGCCAGTGTGCAGTCACGCTCCCATTTTACAGATCAGGACACCAAGGCTCAGTGAGTTCAGGAATCTTGCAGTGGGTGACACAGTCAGTAGGTGGCAGTCTTGAGACTTAGACCCAGGCTGACCACCATGCTGGTGACTGCCTCTCTGGGAGAAGGGTTGGGATTTGCAAGGCTCTAGGGTGAGCAGGTGAATGGAATCAGAGTGGATAACAGTGAACTCTGAAATTCCATTTGTTGCCCACCCGGGCATATGTTTGTTGTCACTGGAGTTTTTCTGGGGCACCTTGCACACCTGGCTAACTGCTGCTTACACACACACACACACACACACACACACACATACACACACACACACAGACATCTGCAGTACCCCTGTTTTTCTAACTCTCCCTGTGGGTGGTATTTCAGATCGTCTGGTCTCCCCAGTCCCAAGCCCCAGGCTCCAGCTGCGTGTGCACACTGGGACCTGCTTTGCTTAGGTGCTAGTCACCTTTAACCCCCAAGACAGTGGTTATTGCCTCCTTGGGACCCGCCTAAAGCCCACAGGTGTGTGTGCAAGCTGGAGGTGTGTGTGCGTTTCACGTCTTTTGGGTGAACCTCTGACAGTGGATGCAAGGGCTGAGAAATTCTTCTCTTACTTGCACGAGCCAACTTCAGATGGCATTCACATGATTTCTCTGTGACGTCAGAGAACAGCCTGGCAATTATTGCATACAACCTGGGTTTTGATGAGGATGCCGTAAATACAGTTTGAATGAATGCTGGGGCAGGTGGATTGCTGGCACTTCGTAGTGGAGGCTGCTCAGCACCTGGTCTCCTTAGATGGATTCTCCTTCCTCCCCTGTGTCCTTCTGCTCCTACTTGATGGAGAGTTTCATGGCATCTGGGCCCCTGCTTCAGATGCTGCTCTCGGGCGTCCAGGTGAGGAAGCCCGGGGAGATGGGAGCATTACAGTCATTCACAATCTTCCAACACAGCCCCACCCCCACTCCCTGCACCAAGCACTTTCCATGTTTGAGTTGAAGGGATGGAGTGGGAAGTTGTAGGTTGCAACCTGGGACTGGGGGGGGGGTCTATCTTATTTTCCCTTCCATCCCCACAAGCTCATGACTTCTCTCCTCACGGTTCACCTTGAAGCAGCTTCCCCATGTGACTGAGGTGAGCCCAGTCTTCTCTGGTTCTTTTCGGGTGCTTTTTTCTACTCTAGAGGAGAAAGCAATGTGACATTTGTCATTAGGCTTATCCGACTCACACCTACTGGAAGCATGCTGTCCTTTCGTGGACCCATGAGTGTCCTGCTCTTCCTTCACCGGAAGTAGAACTCCCATGTCAGGAGAAATGTGTGAGGAAACCACAATGGCATCAAGTCCTCTCAGATCCAGGGAAGGAACAGAGGGGAGTTCTAAGCGGAGTGTGCAGTCAGGAGCCACAGCTTTTCATCTCCTTGGGCAGAAGTTATTCAGCAGTCCGTTAGTCCTGATGACACTGGGCCCTTTGCCACCACTGTGTGAGAGGGTGGGCTTTTCTAGCAGCCAAGGGAGGGGGCTCAGCTCTTACTGGGAGGCTCCCAGTAAGCAACCTGTCAATCATCCCAGCCAAGTTCCCTCACACACATAGTCACATAGCAGCTATGAGAGCCGGAAATGAATTTCACCAGGATGGGCCACCACATAGACACTTTGTTTAGCAGGGGGATTCAGTCCTGCTGCACTGGGTGATCAGACCCTCATGGCTGCCACTTGGTAGTCCTGTGCGAGGCGTGGATATGTGTCGCACATGATTTGATCCTCTCCTGGGATGACTTGCCTGTCAGTCCAGATGCTGCCCAGACATCAGTGTGCACATGAAAGATGTCAGGCCCATTTCTTGCTCAGTGCCAAGCTTCCCCAAGCTGCTTCACATAGGCTGCTCATGCATGGTCCCCCAGGCTGACCTGCACACCTGTCACCCCACTGGACACAGATCTACACACACCTCTCCCTGCATTTTCTGCCATTTGAGGTAAGCATTATCGGTATAATGCATGCCATTTCAAAACACAGGAGCTGGTTCATCTGCTTCTAGAGAACTAACTGCTGGAAAGACTGAGGTGCTGATGTGAAGGTGTCCTTAAGGACCATCTGTTGAAGGCAGGGTGCCCACCCTGTGGTCTACTGGGAGACGTAAAAACTTTTAAAAGGCGGGGCTCTAGTGGAAGGAAGTTGTATCACTGGGGAACACCCTTGAAGGGGGCCTTGGAGTCCTGATCCCTTCCTGTTTCTTCTTTTTGTCCTGGTCACCATGAGATGAAATCTGGACTCCATTACTCACCCCTGATTTGATGTTCTGTCTCTCCATGGGCCCAAAGGCAACAGGGCCAAGTGAGGATGCACTGAGACTTCCAGAACTATCAGCCAAAATAAATGCTTCCTTCTTATAAGATGATTGTCTCGGGCATTTTATCACAGTGCTGGAAAGCTGCCTGACACGCAGAGCTGTGTGTGTGACAGTGGTGCCACTGTCTCTTTCCCTCTGGGCAGAGATGCCCCATACAACTTAAGTGGACCCTATATAATTTCTAGGAAGCACTGGCTATGGCTCTCAAGGAGTCACCCCTTAAGGTGACTCTGAGACCTCCCAGGCATGGGCCAGCCGAATAGTTTTTGAAGTATCTTTCTCAGAAGGTACATACTATTCTCTCCTCCAAGTACACTGTGTTGTGCTAAGAAGAACAGCATTAAGTGGAAAAAGAGTTACAAAACTCCTGTCCAGTTTATACCAAATAGAGAGCAAAGTCCCATCCCTTATCACCTCTATCAAACACAGAAAACCACGTGACAGGTCAGCAAAATGCCCCGAGACACGATTTTTCTTACATTTGTGATTGCAACAAGCCCCTTATTGGTGTAATTATAAGGTCACTGCCCTGGGATTCTTGAGAAGGTACAGGAGAGAAGAAAAACATCCCTCAGAGGCAGGGAGAGCCTCAGGTTCCACCTCTTTAATCTTAATTAGCTTTTCTTCTCTGGGCCAAGGACGTCTCTCAAGTGAGTTTATTCTGGAGCTACGACATCTGGGTGGCTGGAAGCCTTTCAGGGGTTCTCTTCAAAGCTGTGTCAGACACTCCCTCACACAGTCTTAGGGTGTAATCTGTGGTCCATGTCAGAGATTTCTGGCTACTACACGTCTCTTCTTAGTGGTACAAATGTCCCAGGTCAGTTCAGGGACTTCCTCTTCCTCTTCCTAGCCTTATGTTCCGGTGTGGTGGTGATAAGACCTTAAACTGAACTCCTGGTAAAGGGCCTTATCTCCTTATTAGCCATCTCCTGTGCTCCAGGGTTTGAAAAACTCTCCCATCTTGAGTGGAGAAGGCTGAGCAGCCGTCTTGACTTGATTATGTGTCATCTTGATATTTTGAGGCTGATTCCTCTAGCAAAATTCCTGCACCCAGCTGGGTGTCACATGTGGGAAGAAGTGTGCCTCCAGAGGACACGTGGATGATCGTGTCAAGGAGCGGGTACTATCAAAGGTCACCTAAAAAGCAGACAACGATAAATATAAGTCAGGACGCATTCTCACCACGGAGCATGGTTGGGAGATCAAACCTCCAACACTGGCTCTGACTCACAACCCACATAGGAGAGATTTGAACCCCAGGCTGGGGTCTGCTGATGCCTTACAGCTACCCCATGCCCAGGCTCTGAGTGTGAGAACTCAGGCATCTGCACTGGCCTGTCCTTGGGGTTCTGACAGGATACGCCCTCAGCTGCTGCCTCTAAGAGCATCACCTGTGCACATTCACTGTGTTGCCTTTTAAAGGGCCTTGCCCGCCTCCCATCCTTCTCTCTCTCTCTTTCTATTCCTCTCTCTGTCTGTTCCTCTCTTTCCCTCTCTCCTGCTGCTCCTGTCCCTGGAGGCCAGTCTCCCCTCCTTCCCTTTCCCCTTTTTTGATCTTTCTCTAATAAAACAAACAAACAAACAAACAAAAACCCAAAACCCTCTGCTTGAGCCCAGTCACATGTCGTCTTTCTCTTGCATGCTGCTTTTCTTAGATTACAACACGGAGACTTTAACTAGCCTAGGCCCTATTTGGTTTACCTCATCCTCGATGAACCACACACCAAGTCATTCTTAGGTTCTTAATGGGATCCCTGCACCCAAAGGCTGCCAGCTGCCCCCAGTGCTAACTCTTGCTGCTGCCAGCTGCCCTTAGCACTAACTCCTGCTGCCAGCTGCCCCCAGTGCTAACTCCTGCGGCCAGCTGACTTCAGCATTAACTTCTGGGTTTGTTTTGCTAGCCTCTCCTCTAGCAAGAAGCAAGAAGCTGGGCTTCCTGTTGCAAGGTGTTTTGTGATTTACTTTAAATCATTTCAACAGGGACGGTGAAATGACATGAAAGGGGAAGGCACTTTCAGCCAAGACTGACCACCTGAGCTTGATCCCTTGGACTCTGGGACCCACATGGCAGAAGGAGAGCTCCGACTCGCAGAAGTTGTCCTCTGACCTCAACACATGCTCCATTGTTAGTGTGCGTACATACGTATTAACATCTTTAAAAATTCATTTCACCAAACACTTGCCAGAAAAATACCTATAGATAGTGCAGACGCTGTGTCCTAGGACTATAGATGGGGCCATGTGAGAAGCCAAGACACAGGACAGCCTCAAAGGCCAGTGGGAAAGAAAAAGAGCATTGCTTTCATCACCAACACATAACCTCTGAGGGGAATTTTAGCCCGTCTCCTGAAGCATCCTACTGCCCTTCATCATCTTTATCCCTCAGGTCTGTATCAACCCTCTCTCAGAGAGCCAGCCGAAGCAGGGCCAAGCTGGATCAAGCCGAGCGAGGGCTCTCTTTTGTGGAGAGGGACGGGCATGCTCTAGAGAGGTATCTTTCTCACTCTGTAGCCCAGGCTAGCCAGGAACATGCCTGTGGTCTTCTTGCCTCGTCCTCTCAAGTACTGGAAATACAGTGATCTGCTCCGAGCCTCTGAGGGTGTCTATCCTCTGCCACTGTCTAACCAGAAGTTTCAGCACCGTTGGCCGTTTGAATGAAAACCTGAAGCAAGAGGAGAGCTGGCGCAGAACCCTGAAGAGCTGAGAGCCGGCCCAGGGAGGAGAGCTGAAGTGAAGGTCTCCTAAAAGCCCCGTAAGAATTTGGGCCAAGTGACTAAATGTCTCGTGTCCCAGTTTCTCAGCAGTGACGTGAGAATGCCACATTGTGTCGTCACAGTAAAGGCTCGGCGGTTAATACAGTAAGGTCTAGCGTGGGCTCGCCACATGCTCAGCGGTGCCCCATCTGCGTGTGAGGCTCGTGCGCGCATGACCCGGTGTGTACACTCCTGAGCTGCAGTGTCGCTCCTTTCACTGCTGGGGCTCTGGATGAAGTTTCAGAATTTCCAGGGTCACTCAGGATGTTGGATTTTCCCCACATCTGGCTTTGAGGTCTGTCCCAGGGAGCACCGCTCTGAGCCTGCCCTTTGGGGGGCTTCGGGGACCTATGGGGGTTTAAAGCATGATCTTCACGGGGCCTTCCTTTTATCCTGTGCACTGCAGTAGGCCTAAGGCTCTGACCTATGTATAACGGGGTACCCCTCCCCTAGAAAGTTAGCTGGTAGTAGTTGACACCCTGTGGCTCCTGGTTGGCTTGTGTCCAATTTGTTCCTCCCAAGTTGGCCTGCCCTGTCCAGGAAAGAATTTAAGGTTGGGTCATGTAGATAGAGGCGGTGGCACAATGAACTACACAGAGTGACACATCAATCATGTGTAACACAGACGCGCCAGAGAGGGGGCAGTGCATCCTGCGGGGCCTGGGGGATGAGGCAGGGGAGTGGCCTGGGATGAGCCTGCTCACCCAGCAAGTGGGGAGCCAGAGAGGAAGACAGGGAGGTGCTTGTTGGCTGAAGACCCTGCTGGGGACCAGGAGTTGCCCAGCAGGTGGCGGTGGGCATTCTAATGGCTGTGTGGAGCAGGCAGGAGAGTGCTGTGGGACACATCATGGTGTGGTATTGCACAGCGAGCATGTGAGATGTAGGGTCAGTCGCGTGGGTTGCATCTGCCGTCTGCTGGAGAGGTGCTTGCCGAAGACAGCACCTAGATGAACCACACTGAGAGACCTGGAGGAGGTAGGGACCGGGAAGGCAGATTGATCTCTCTTTTATTGTGACCAAGTTCTGCTTACGTTCAGATGATGGCTACGCAACCTAAAGCCATGAGCGTTCAAAGCTGTAAGAGCAGAGACAGAGTTGTGTAGTCACGTTCATGTTTAGAAACTGGAAGGTCCGTACCCACACATCGGTCAGCACCTCAGCCCCCCATCTCCAACCAGTGTGCCTGGTGAGGGGGGAGGGGACAGAGTTGCCCGAGGGTTTTCTTTCTGGGGTCTGTTCCCTCAGCACTCATGAGCTGTTGTTTCCCTCTGGGGTTGGAATGTGGGGAGAGGGGGATGGGACTGCAGAAAGTTCTCAAGACTCATCTGTCATTGTCATAGCCGGCTCTGTACTCTCTAGGCTGGCAGATGTAGGATCTGACTTGCTGTATTGGGAGTGTTTGTAGGTCCTTCAGAAAGCTCTCCCCCACTCACCTCTGCCTTCCTAGGCCTTCTTCCCTGCTTTCCCCTGGAGCTGGAAAAAGCATCTATAATCTCCCCTTTGAGGATCCCAGTGGCAAGCAGTCCACTTGTCCCGCTTGGTGCAGAGTAGCGGGCAAGCCCCAGCCAGCCTGTCTCCTCCTCTTGCCTGTCTCCCAGTCCCTGAGCCCCTTCCTGACATGGCGCTTGCATGAACTCTGGGAGGGCAGGCCTTCCCGGGGCAGGTTGCTCTTCCAGGCTTGCCAGCTTCCAGGGAGGTTTTCTTCACTCTAGTTTTCCCGTCTGAGGACAGACACAGGCCTTTCCAGCTCCGTATCTCAACTGGAATGAGCTCACATTTGCCTTCAGATGATAAACACAATGTCCAAAAGCAGATTCACACATCCCAATCACAGTCCATCACCGAAGGATGAAGCCAAAAGCAGGAGCACAATGGTTAGGACCTGAAGCAGAGGCCATGGAGGAAGAACACTGTCTTGTTCTTTCTCTGTGGATGGCTCAGCCTACTTTCTTATACACTCACGACCATCTGCCCCGGGGGAGTATAATACCCAGTGGGTGGTATACGCCACATCAATCATTGATGAAGAAAGGTTTGTCTACAGGACAATTCGGTGGAAGTATCTTCTCTTGAGGTTCCTACTTCCCAGATGACCCAAGCTTGACAAAATATTAACACGGTGAATAAATACATTAACCTGACTTGGGTGTGTTCTTGGTATACTGTACCTGAAGTCAGGGTAGGAGTTCCAGAAATCCTTAGGTTGGGTGGAGTGTTGTCCTTGGAAGGGGAGCTGGAGGAGCCACCTGGTGGCCCAGCTTGCTGTGTTCTCAGTGGCTGTGGACATTCTGTCCTCCACACTTGCCTAGTAAATAGAATTGGCTGCACTGGGTAAACACCAGCCATACCTTCCCTGCTTATGCTTCGTACCCAACAGCTCACAGCCCTACTTGGCCAACCTAAGGTCCTAGCCTCTCCATCCTACAGTTAACTCTTCTGGGTCTCATCCTGACCTTGATACCGATAACAACTGTCCAGCAAAGGGCCTTGGGGGAGTACCCACACTCCCAAAGAAGGAAGAGGGATAAAATGGTGGCCCGTCCCAGACCAGATAGCCTACACTTAGGTTTAGCTATCACGATCCCAGAATTTACTCACGAGTCTTTGTACTTCTATTTTCTATAGCATTCGATTTTTATTGATAAGATTACATCCTGGAGGAGTGGGAGGTGGAAATTCGACCTTGATCTTCCTAGGGAAAGGTTTACATGCTGCCTTGTTTTAATATTTGTTTTTAAGATAGTAAAAGAGACATACATGGATTGCAGAAAAATTAGAAAGTACAGAAAAGAATATGGAAATAAGTTTTTTTTAATTACGCTTTAAGATTTTTTGTGTATTTCCCTCTAACATCATACTGATATATAAAGCACACATATGTATATGTAAGTTTTAAATAAAATTAGAAATATACATCTATATTTACATATGCTTTTCCCCCACCTATCCTTATGTTGTGGGCATATCCTTCCAGAATTAAACTTTGTGAATTTTCAAGCAGTATACTATATGGAACATTCCAGCTTGTACTAGCACAGCAACAGGTGGGACATGCTCTGAGGGACTAAATGTGGGCATCTCCTGGCGACCTCTCCCTACCAGAGACCCCAGGCTACCTAGCTTGAAGGAACTGACCCACAGTGTTGCTGAAGCTTAGAAACCATTCTTTGGTTCCTTAAACATAAAGCTGAGTAGCAATCCCCATGTGGTTGCACACCCCAGGGCTTGAGGTATGACCTGCCCCAAGAGCTCCTCTCAAGGAAGCTTGCACATGCGTCCCAGCATTCATTCTTCTGACTTTCCACCCTTCCAGGCTCCCCTTTCACTGTGCATCATGTAGAAACCAGAGTACCAAGCCCTCACTTTGTCCTCCCATAATTAAAATGTGGAAAGCCCTTCTATGTAAGAAGATCATTTGGCTCCTGAATGATGAGACTTTGAATTGGATTTTAAATAATACATCAAACCCCGTGACCTCACAGTGTCTCCAAAGAGGGCTCCTTTGCTTTCAAAGTCAAGTACATTTAGCTAAAGGCATCCAGAACTTGAGTGATTTGCAATAGGTCATGTTAGAGGGTAAAATACCCAGACCAAAGGGTTTATTTTAAACTCACAGCTTCAAGTTACAGTCCATCATTGTGGGGCAGCCACAGCAGCAGAACTTGTGAGAGCTGGTCACAATGTACCCATAATCAAGAAGCAAACAGCAACAGATGAATGTGTGCAATCCCACAGTGGGTGGGGCTTCCTACCTCAACTCAAGAGAGTCCCTCATAGATTGAACCAGTGTAGACAATTACCTACTGAGACTCTTCTAGGTGACTCTAGGTTGTGTTTAGTTGGCAATTCAAAACTATCTTAGGGGCTTCAGAAAATTTGTTCTTGTCAATAAGAGTAGAGACAAGATCTGATAGCTTCTAGCAGGGTTATTTAAAGAAAAGAAGACAGGAAATTGGCAAAGAGGTGTGTGTGTGTGTGTGTGGTTATAATTGAGTGGGGGAGATGAAGGGTGGGTATGGTCATATTTCCTTGTATATATGTATGAAATTCTCAGAGGATAAAAACCTATCTTCTGGCTAGTTTCTGTCAAATTGACATAAACTGGAAACATCTTGGAAGAGGGAATCTCAATTGAGGAATTTCTTCCATCAGATAAGGCTCATGGACAGGTCTGTGGGGCACTTATTTATTTATTTGACTAATGATTGATTAGTCTAGCTCACTGTGGATGGTATTACCCCTAAGCAGGTGGTCCTGAGTTGTATAAGAGAGCAAGGTTTGGGGTTGGGGATTTGGCTCAGTGGTAGTGTCTGGGTTTTTATTGCCATGAAGAGACACCATGATCACAGCAATCTTAAAAGAAAACACTTAACTGGGGTTCACTTACAGTTTCAGAGGTTCAGTCCAGTATCATCATGACAGGGAGCATGGTGGTGTGCAGGCTGATATAGTGCTGAAGTAGCTAAGACTCCTACATCTTGGCTTACAGGGAACAGGGAGTTGACTGAGACACTGGGTGGTATCCTGAGTATAGGAAACCTCAAAGCCCAACCACATGGTTACACATGTCCTTGAACAAGGCCATACCCACTTTAACAAGCCACACCTCCTAATAGCACCACTCCCTATGAGATTATGGGGGCCAACTACATTCAAACTTGCCTAGTAAGCACTTGCCTACTAAGCCCAAGGCTTTAGGTTCTGTCCTCAGCTCCAAGGCCAGATGACTTAGGATACATAATCTAAGCAAGTCATTGGGCCAGGACACAGTATTCTTTCCTGGTATCTGGTTCAATTTCTGCTCCAGGTCTTGAGTTTCTGCCTTGGCTTCTCCTGCCCTAAGTTGCATTTTGGTCCTAGTGTTTATCATGACAAGAGAAAAGCAAACTCTGACAGGTTTATATATATACATGAACATACACATATATATCTCACATATTATATATTTATACTATGCTTTATTTACACTATATATTTATTTTAAAAATGTGTGTGTGTGTGTGTGTGTGTGTGTGACAAAGTGAGTCTCTAGGGTTCAGGATCAAGTAGTCA